CCAGTCTCTAGACTCATCAAGTTATGGGTCGCTGAGGGATTTCTAAAGCCACATGAATCTAAACACTTGGAAGAGGTTGCACAGGAATATCTTGGGGATCTTATTGATAGAAATCTTATTTTGGTTCGTCAAAAAGGGTCTATTAATGGAAAAGTAAAAACCTGTATCATGCATGGTCTTTTGAGAGAACTCTGCGTGAGGATGGCTCATAAGGAGGAATTTCTTTGTGTGAAGAGCAGGAATCTCTTTCCAGAAAAGGAAACTTTGCTCCGACGTCTAAGTATTCATGATGATGCTTCATATAGTCCCAATGAGGAAGACATGACAATGGAATCAATGTCTCTTGTCCGTTCTTTTATATATACTGGTTGGGACGATACTCAGTTGCATTCTTATTATTATTTTGGTTGTCGATTGCTAAGGGTATTGGATATGCTTGGAGTGGTGCTTACAAATTTCCCTGATGAAATACTTCAACTAGTTAATTTGAGGTACATTGCTATCACCTGTCGCCGTGAAATTCCTCCTTCTATTGCCTTACTTAAGAATTTACAGACCTTAGTTGTTGAAGAACCACAGGGAATTGCAATTCTCCTATCAGAGGAAATTTTTAATATGCCACAATTGAGGCATCTCAAATTCTCTCGAGTTTTCCTGCTGCCTTCTTTCTCTTCCCCATTAACGGATAGTGATAAATCTTTCGTTCTAGAAAACCTAGAGACACTTTCAATGGTACAAGATTCAGGATTGGCACAACACTTCCTTGAAAAATTTCCAAATGTAAAGAAATTGGGAATTATTTATAATGACAATACATGGAATGCCTTTGACTTGCATCTCCAAAAACTCGAAACACTAAAAATTTTCTTTGAAACGCCGACAAATTCAGATTTCCTGGGAAGAATCACTTCTTCTCCAAGGCTCAAAAAGATAACTCTAGAATGTGGCAGAATTGATTGGAAATATATGACGATTTTTGGTATGTTGCCCAATCTTGAAGTGCTGAAATTGCGCGAGTTTGCCTTTGTAGGGCCAGAGTGGATACCAACTGAAGGAGAATTTCTCAAACTAAAATTCTTGCTAATTTGCGAGACAAATTTAGAGCAGTGGAGAGCGGACAGCACTCATTTTCCAAGACTTGAGCACCTAATCCTCCGGAAGTGCTCAGAACTGGTAGAGATCCCATCTGATATTGGAGAAATACTGACCCTTAAAATAATTGAGATAGATAACTCCAGTCCCTCCACCGTAAAATCAGCAAAGGGTATACTTGAGGAACAGCGGGACCAAGGAAATGAAGTACTTGAAGTTCTTTTCCATCAAACAAAAGAAAGACTGTATCCGTTAAAATACGGGGTAAATCAATCACTCATCCTTTCTTTTTCCCTTTTTGTCATTTTTTAGATACATCATATTGATCACCAATGCCAACAGATCCAGCAAGATGAGTCGGGTCACTTCCAGAGCAGGGAAACCAAATTGGATCGGTTCAGGGTAAATCAATTGTTGCCAATGGTACCTACCTCTCTTCTTATTTTGATTTTGATTTTATGCAACATTATTATTTGTGTTTTGTCTTCTTATCTTATAAGGAAAAGAATTATTTGAGTAACTTTCGGGAACTAGGTTCCGGGACATTACAAGTTTTATCTTAGATGCTTAGCTTTAAACCGTGAATCACTTATTTAGTCCTTGTTTAATATCCAATTTGTTTAAAATATATTTTTCTCTCCCTTCTTTTTAACCACACATTTTTCAATAAAATAATATTTTATGCAATCCAAAAAAATTTCCTTCATTTTTAACCACACATTCTTTATTAATCTACTATTACAAAATGCGTTCTATACAAGAAATGGGGCCCAAACAGTCCCTTAATATTCATACAAAAAGTAAACACACAAGCATAAAGATAAAAACATAAATCATTCATAGCACCTATTTTTTTCGCATGGTTATGATTTCATGTTTGTTCGCTACAACAAAACTGTGATTTCGCGACAAGATTTTTCACGACATACAAAAA